CCACCAGGAGTTCCACTTAAAGAAAATTAGCACTTGGTAAAGCAAGAACTCCAACCCAAAAGGAGAAGTTCCACTCCGTGATGCACCCTAGTCTTCAGCTGGGAATGTGACAGGTCCCAGGACTACCCTCGGTTGGTCCTAAAGAGGCATCCCTCATGGAATAGTGGGCACTTTTCTCCGGATTGAGGAAGCTGACAGACCAACCTGTCTTGGGGAGCATCTAAGTACCTGGAAATTGACAAGCTACCCACCCCAAGTTGGGGCAGGTGACGTTTTTTGCTGCGAGTTGCGCAAGCCGCAAAAGTCAACGCGGGCCGGCCAGGAGTGGAGTTATGTACGTCCTCCACCTGACTGCGCGGAACCCCACACCCCGTTATAGTGTCGCTTCTGGGACATGTGATGTGGTGAAAGGTCCCAGAACCTGCTTTGACCCACAGTGATCACGATTGGACCATTCAGATATAAAAGTGCCGGTTTCTCGGCTGCATCGCTACTCATGAATGCACAGTGGGCACCCTGGATGTGAAGCCACAAGCTGTCACAGCTGGGTGCCCACCCACACAGTAAGATGCCCAGTGTTGGAAACACAGGACTCGTGCCAAGCACAGGCATGGTAAAACATGCTGCAGGGGAGGACACCGCAGTGGATCACAGGGACAGTGTATGAGTGGCTGTCACAGTTTTTTAAGAGTCAGTCAGTTCCTATAGTGTCACCTTTTTGTAGCAGTGCCGCTGTGACCCTAATTTTTTTCAATGTAACTGCCACCTCATTAGTACTCCAGTGCCCTGCTTGCTAAGTAATCAGCAAGAGATATGTTGAGAAAACAAGGTTTAAACATTTTAAGAAGAAAAATATAACTTTTTTTTTTTTTCAAATTTAGGTCCTTTTTTTTAATTTTCTCACATGGCATTAATCCAAAGATAGTATTTGTGAGAAAAAAATGATCTTCTATGGACTTGTGGGTGTAAACGGATTGAACAGTGCCTGGCCCCGCGGCAGCGCTGAAAAGCATTGGCCTTAAGGGGGTATAAGTGCCGCATCAGCAGCTATTATAGTTTTTGTAACATCCGTTTTTTTAAACATGTTGAAGAACAAAGAAGAATCAAAAATACACTTTTAGGGTCCTTTTATCTTTCTATGGACTTGTGGGTTATGGTGTAAAATGAACAAACCATGGCATCCATTAAACGTTTTTTTAAACGAAAAACACTGTTGATCTTCTACAGAAAAAAATGTCAGCAGATTGTCAGAATCTGGAAGCCCCCTTTAGCAAGGGGGCCCCCAGATCCCACCCCCCCCATGTGAATGAATATGGGGTACATGATACCACTATTCATTCACAAAAGAAAGTGTGGTGTGAAAAGAACAGGAGACAGTCTTTGAAAAGTCCTTTATTAAAAGGAGGAAAATAAAAGAATGTCTCCCGAAGTAGATGCAAGGTCAATCACGATGCCCGCCGCCACCGCACCCACCGTCTGACTGCAATGCTGGCTTGACAGTTCTTAAATATGTAAGGGGCAGGACCACCCAGTAACATCATCCATGTGACCCCCGCCCTGTGTGACATCAACTTGCTGGGTCATTGCCATCACACAGGGTGAGGGCACATACATGATGGTTCCACCCCTTACATATTTAAAAAAACTGTCAAGCCAGCGGAGCAGTAAGGTGGCCAGGAGCCACATTACAAGCGGCAGCGGGGCAGCATGATTGACGTTGGATCTACGTTGGATTGACGCTGGATCTACTTAGGGGGATATTCTTTTATTTTTCTTCTTTTAATAAAAGATCTTGTCATAGACTGTCTCCTGTCTTTTTTCACACTACACTTTTTTTTGTGAATGAGTAGCAGTACCATGTACCCCATACTCATTCACATGGGGGGGGTGGGATCTGGGGCCCCCTTGTTAAAAGGGGGCTCCCAAATTCTGATAAGCCCCCTGCCTGCAGACCCCAACAACCGTAGCCCAGGGTTGTGGGGAAGAGGCTCTTTTCATGGGGACAAGGTGCTTTGGGGGGGGCCCCCCACTCCAAAGCACCTCCCCACGTTGAGGGCATGTGGCCTGGTATGGTTCAAGAGGGGGAGTGCTTGCTCATCCCACCCCTTTCCTGGCCTGCTGGGCTGCATGCTTAGATAAGGGACTGGTATGAATTTTGGGGGAGACCCCACACCAATTTTTTTTTATTTTGGCTTGGGGGTTACCCTCAAAATCCAAACCAGATCCGAAGGGCTTGGTATGGATAGAGGGGGGACCCCATGCCATTTTTTTTTGTGAATTTCAATATATGTGGAGTTAAGAAACTTTATTTTCGGTTATATGTTTCCTGGCATCAACTATTGTTTGCTATAATTAGGTTTCAGGTGATAAGCACTTAGTCTAGTCACCTCCAGAGTCCAGGTTGCTAGGTGTCAGGAAGGAATCTTATGTTTGATTGTTTTTTTAAGTAAGGTAAGGCTCCATGCACACTGGCTTAAACAATGGTGCCTCAATAGGAGTTTTCGGTTTTGCCTGAAGAAGCAGCTTAGTGTTATCCTATGTGTCTATGTACATTAAGACGCATAGAGGCATATTTTAAGCTCAACATTTGGAGGCAAGAAAAAACCCTTCTGTATTGCATTTTTGATTAGAGCTTTCTGGCAGAAAAAAAAAAATGCTCTATATCAACGTTTTTTTTTATGCCAAGGGAACTACCGTTTTGTTTTTTTTTGTTTTTTTTAAGCCCAGTGTGCATGGAACCTAATTTTCTCCTGGAACTTGTAATGTGTGCCATACCTATCTAGGAGTAGGTTTGTTTTGTAGAATTGCTGTGCAGTTTGTTATTAAAGTCAGTCCTGTTTTACTCCAACATTGGTTCTGCCCGATGCTTGGGGTAAATTTGCTTTATTCTGGTTCTGCCCGATGCTTGGGGTAAATTTGCTTTATTCTGGTTTTAGTGTGGAGGAAGCTTTAGTTTGGCAGCAATACCCAGTCAGGGTGTCAGGCAGTCCATAACAGCTACCTAAAATATAGCTACTTGGAACCCCCTAGGAACAATGGAAGGGCCCTTAGATGACAATTAGATGAACACTACCTCCTCCTTTGAATCCAAGGGGATATTTCACACCACCTCCCATTCTGCTTTCTAGGGGTGGACTCAGGATTGGCTAAAGGGGAACTCCAATCAACCTGCTTTCCAGGGGTGGACACAGGTTCGGCTAAAGTGCAACTCCAATCAGATGTAAAAGATACACATTAATATAGTTCTTTATTCATAAATAATTAAATGCAAACAGTGTCAGTACCTAAAATTATATCAGAGAGTCTAAATTCATCTATGAAATCTTTCTTGCATGCTACAGACAGTGTCCTCAATCTCATCCCTGCCTAGCTGTCAGAATTAGGACTCTGATCATGCAGCAAGAGTTTGTTTAGTGCCCTCAGCAATGCCTGTTAAAAAAAACCCTTTGGGTTCAATTATACCCCCTTACAATCATAGCTATCATGTTTATGTCTGTGAAACAGTTAATACAGACGACAAGTAAAAGTGTTCAGGTTATAAAAGTACCCAAAAACATCTAGTGTGTCTACTTTGTAAATGGCCAGCATGCACATTAATAGCATAATGATGTCCAGACAGTAATACTGTATTAGCAGTGGGTGAAAATCACTACTTTCTTTTGAACAGCCATTCAGTGTAACAAGGTCAGGCTTAGTCAAATGAACGAGGCTCCAGATTTTCCTACTACAGTGAACCAATTTCACAGTGTATTGAGTAAGGGCCAAGAGACAGAATGGATGCCTGAAATGTTCCTTTTTAACATGAAATGCAGCTTTGATCAAGCAGTGAGCTGGCTTTCATCAAACCATGTCTGCTGAACAGAATCTATCACATTTATATTTTTTTTTCCAAAAGGCTTCAAAGGATATTTCCCAGCAAGAAGCCAAATATCACACATATCGATATAGCAAAATGACTCTCTTCTTGGTTTTAGTAGGATTTATAATAACAAAAATTCCATCCACTGAGGCTTTCATGCAATCGGCATCATAAAAACACTATTTACACTGCAGATTCATCCATGTTCTCAACCCTCGTTTATATATTCATGGTGCTGTAGTATACTTGACAGCATCCCGAGAGGAGACTTTGTTGTCATCACGCAGTTCTTTGAAATGAATTGCATGTTTGACACACGGAAAGCAAAAGAGCTTTTTCAGCTGAAATACTTCATATCTCTTTTAATTCAAGCATTTAAAGCAGCAGCGACATTTAAAGGAACAATCAAGTAACACATGAACATTTTACGCATAAATGGACTCATGTAGCAATGAGGACACATAGCTGAGAATCATGTGCCAAGAAGTATCAGTCTCAAACAAGCATTGCAATAAAATCGTATGTGAATTATATAAAACATTGCGCAAAAGGTAAACCAAATGCATTTATGAATTCAGTGCACTGGCAAAAAAAATCCTTAGCAATATTAGAAGTTTACAGAGATATTTTAGTTGTTACCAGAAGTAGTTCTTTTTAGCTTAAATCCATCCAACATCTTTTTCTAAGGGATTTGGTGTTAAAAAGTTAGAAGTTACAACAGATGTTAAATATTTCTCTGTGGTACCATTGGGGAATGGGGAAGCCTTCTCCCATATACTGTGTCAATGACACTAAAGGGTCCATTTATCTAAAAAAAAAAAATATTTGTGATTGCCTCAAGCAATCAATCAGAAATAATCCCTGTGTTGTGTCTAATATGTCCATATCCTATGATCGACAGCTTCATGTAGGGGGCCATGACACAGAATTCTCCTGATTGAGGTATTTCAGAAAAATACCACATTATGGACACTATACATATAGAAATAAAGGATATATATATCTATATATATATATATATATATATATATACACACATACATACATACATACATATACACATACACGCACACACACACTATTGCCCAAATCATTAGGTTCAGGTGTTCCGATATCACCTCCATGGCCACAGGTATATAAAATCAAGCACCTAGGCATGCAGACTGCTTCTACAAACATTTGTGAAAGAACGGGTCGCTCTCAGAAGCTCAGTGAATTCTAGCGTGGTACCATGATAGGTTGCCACCTGTGCAATAAGTCCATCCGTGAAATTTCCTTGCTACTAAAATATTCCACGGTCAACTTTTAGTGGTATTATAAAAAAGTGGAAGCAACTGGGAACAACAGCAACTCTCCACAAAGTGGTAGGCCATGTAAAATGACAAAATGCTGAAGTGCACAGTGCGTAGAAGTTGCCAACTGTCTAAAGATCTCCAAACTTTGTGTGGCCTTCAGATTATTATTATACAGGATTTATATAGCGCCAACAGTTTGAGCAGTGCTTTACAATATAAGGGAGGCAGTACAATTACAATACATTTCAGTACAGAAGGAATAGGAGGGCCCTGCTCGTGGAGCTTACAATCTAAAGGATTAGCACAACAGTGCTTAAAGAGCTTCATGGAATGGGTTTCCATGGCCGAGCAGCTGCATCCAAGCCTTACACCACCAAGTGCAATGCAAAGCGTCAGATGCAGTGTCATAAAGCATGCTGCCACTGGACTCTAGAGCAGTGGAGACATGGTTTCTGGAGTGACAAAGCATGCTTCTCTATCTGGCAATCCAATGGACGTGTCTGGGTTTGGCAATTGCCAGGACAACAGTACTTGCCTGACTGCATTGTGCCAAGTGTAAAGTTTGGTGGAGGGGGATTATGGTGTGGGGTTGTTTTCAGAGGTTGGACTTGGCCCCTTAGTTTTGGTGAAGGGAACTCTTAAAGCATCAGCATACCAAGACATTTTGGACAATTTCATGCTCCCAACTTTGTGGGAACAGTTTGGGGAGTTTCCTGTTCCAACATGACTGTGCACCAGTGCACAAAGCAAGGTCTATAAAGATATGGATGAGCGAGTTTGGGGTGAAGGAACTTGACTGGCCTGCACACAGTCCTGACATCAACCCGACAGAACACCTTTGGAATGAATTAGAGCAGAGACTACGAGCCAAACCTTCTCGTCCGACATCAGTGCCTGACCTCACAATGTGCTTCTGGAAGAATGTTCAAACATTCCCATAGACACACTTCTAAACCTTGTGGACAGCCTTCCCAAAATAGTTGAAGCTGTAAAGGGTGGGCCAACTCAATATTGAACCCTACGGACTTAGACTGGGATGCCATTAAAGTTCATGTGTGTGTAAAGGCAGGCGTGCCAGATCAAAAGTGAAGGGGCATTTCCCAAATAGAGAAACAGATATCAGTACAAAATTGAAAGACTCCTTCCCACTCTGTCCAAAAAAAAAAATTATAAAAAATTTTGGCTGGAGTTGTTTTAAGCTTTTTTTCTTTTGCATTCCAGACATCGTGTCACATCAATGTTTATCAATCAGCAGATTGCCAGTGCCAGCCAACAATTAACAAAAATCATTTTAGTTGCCATATTAACTGTTTTGATGGGTTCTAAAATATGCTTAGAGTTTTAGGACTGAGCAATGATGATGTTGGGAATGTTATGGATTTATTTATTAGGCTGTGCAAAAATGAAACCTTACCAGTGATCAGAACTCTTATTTTATTAATTTAAATCAATTATGATTGAGTATCACCTCACTTAGTACACTACTGCTTTTAGGGTACTTAAAGGAATTTTACACTTTCAAATGTTTTCTTTGTTTTAACTAGGTGTTAGTGTAGTTATATTCCTTGTGTTGTTTGTTAGCCCTACCTTGTAATAACAGGCTCACGTGACTGCAGTATGTACTGTCATGGCTGACCAGTTCCCTTATGTCTATGTATTTATTCACATAGCTTGTCCCTATTCACTAAATAGACCACAATCTCTTGTTTTAGGTCATACAGCATCCAATCCATGCCTCACCACTTCCTCTGTGAAGCACCACAAATATGGACATGCTAATGTGATGAAAACACCTTCAGTGCTCTGCCTACTTGGGGACATTTCAAATCTAATTACTACGCAGATTTCACCTGCTGAATACCAGACTAAGAGGCCCAGGGATTGGCAATATGTAGTTTTGTTACTGGAAGTGTCAGTTGGTAGACTATGGAGTTCATGAATTAGCCTGTGCAGTGCCTTGCCACGTTTCTTGTTTGAACACAAGCAGAAACTTCTGAAACTGGACTGCGAAGATTTACTCTACTCTAGGCTGTGCATATAGAGCAACAAACAACAACATGAATTTACATGATCAGTGCACATCTTATAGAGAGGAACACCACAAGGCGAATGTAGGAAGGTTTATAATGCCTTTAAGTAACCACAGAGAGCAGAAATGATGTGTAAAGTGTGATAATCTATAGCAATCCATTTCATACCCCTCATCAACTCAAAGGAGTCAGAACAACAAAATATAACTTCTGAATAGTAATTATGTTATTGCACTCGAATACTATTATTGCAATACTGCAGTTAAGAAGCTACGTACCTGTGCCTGCATTTTTTTTTATGATTTTGGATGTAAAATGACAAGAGGAGAAAATGATGTCCCATAAAATGCCCTGTAAGAGAAGAGGAAGAGTCTCTGAAACAGCTTCATTCATTATATGAGAACTTGTCCCCCTAACCTCTTGAACACACTGCTGTACTTGAAAACAAACACTCGGTTGAAGTCAACTGCAGACTACAAACAGATACTGCAAGTGCACATTACTTTACGGAGTAGGTTTACTAGTGATTTTTATCTTAGCTCTAGATCTCTTCTATTCACCCTCTTATCATGGCTAAAAGAATGTTGCTCAAGGTCAAGTCCAAGGATGGGTCTTCCATTAGTTTCTTCAGCATTCAACACTTCTGGGAACATCAGACACCCACAGCCCCCACTGCATGCTGCAATTCAATCATTCAGCATCTACATTTCAATTTTGTAGAGTCAAATGTTGGGAAGGAAGCACATAAGGACACATGCATCCGACACATCCAAAAGATTGAAATGTTAGAAAGACTGACACAGGTTGAATCTCTGAAAGGTATAATACACTGACTGACAGAGAGGAGATTGTAATTAATTTTTTATTGCAGGGGCTGCCGGAGAGGTGAGTATAATGGCTCACCTATTGCAAGGACCTTGTCAGGGAACAAGAAGATTGCCGCAGCACATAATCTATGCATGTGCAGGATCCCGACAAGGCATACAGGCAGGCGGGCACTAGGACCCAGGCACGCCTCTCACCAATGATGGCACCGGCAGGCACTAGGGCCCAGGCGCGCCTGTTGGCGCTGGGCGGGCTATATAAAGAGCACCACAGTGCTCATTCAGTGCTGACTGGTCTTCAGCTCCCCCGTGTCCTGCTTGTTTCCTGTGCTTTTCCTTTGGTTCTGACCCGGCTTGTTTCTGACCCAACTCTTAGTACTCTCCTGCCCCCCCGACTTCCTGACTTCGGCTCTGTTCCTGACTCTGGCATTTCCTCCTGATCCTGTACCGCGCTGCCCGACTGTTATGACCCTGGCTATCCTACGACTCCGTTCCAGTCCTGTGTCCTGGCTACATACCTGGCTCTGCTGTGCATCTGGCAATCCACTGTACCTGCCTGGTCTATCTCCACAGCACCCAAATCAGAGGATATCCTGCTTATCAAGGTCATCATCTGCAAGAGCCGCAAGCAAAACCCTGGCGCTCTTGTCCCCCTGGTCCTTAGACGCCCTCTGTTCCAACCTCAGCGGGCTCAGGATTAGTGACACAAGTGAGGCCGACCTCGTCAATTCAGTCTCCCATCAGGTGCATGACAGACCTTCAGAAAAAAAATACACTTTTGGAATTCTCAGGGGTTCTCACTTATGCAGGGTGTGGGGTTTAGATTAGAAAGGGAAAACTGACTGTAGCTCTCCCAAGATTAAGAAGTTCTTATAGGGGACCTGGAATTCAGAAGCATGGGGAGACTTTGGATGGGAAGGAGCCTCCAACTTTGACTACAGGGACTGCAGAAGCAGTTAGCAGGTATCTGTGATGTGGAGTATGAAGCAGAAACACACTTAGGAGGAAGAGTGGTGAACTGCTTGTGACTAAGACATACTGAAGCTGCTGGTGACTGGGTCTTTGGGAGACAAGTGGGGACATAACCCTGTTAAGGGACAAGTTTTTTTTTGAGTGATAAGACAAAAGATTAATTTTGTACCAAACAGTATGGACTGTTTTGTTTATTTTCTGCTGTGTGTACATATACACACCCATATATATATATATATATATATATATATATATATATATATATATATATACACACACAATATATAGCTGAATTATACATTTCAGAGACTGATAATAAAACTAGAGACTGACAGGGTTTTTTAAACACTTGATTGAAATACATATTATGTAAACTGTTTAACTTTTAAAGCATTTGTAATTATTTTCAGTCAGTCAGTCTTGTGATGTATACATATATACACATTACATGGCCAGAAGGTATCACCACCTATTGCCACAGCATTTCAGCTTCCTGCATTATCTACAAGTAGTTGTAATAGCAGCATTTTTAAATTACACTAAATGATAGAACCAGATTAAAGGATGATTTTTGTTTTCTTTGAATAGGATGGAACTCATAATTATATAGCTATAGAAAAGCATTCAAAAATACTGGCCTGTTTGTATGAATTCTAAATATTGCAGACAATGCAGGTTCACAAAAAAGAAACAAACCCATACTGACACAGACAGCTGTGTAATTACAAATATACTTTGTATAAACTATACAAATCTGGGCAAATCTCTCTAAGCATATGATGAACCATTCCAAAGGACAAAGTTCACTTTCAGTAGATGGAGGAATCTGCAAAGAATGTATACATTTCAACATTTTTCCTTTAAAAAATATACTTTGAGCCCCTTTTTTGGTGCTTTAATGCGACGGCCATTTCACAGATTTATAAGGAGGCTTGGTAGGTGGGGGAGGGCAGGCTAAATTTTTACAGAGTAAATAAAATGTAATTTGCCTTTAGTTTTGGAATGGTTGGTGGTTTTAACTAAAGATAAGGTTAGTAATACATTTATTCCAGGTTTACATTAATCTAAAAGATGGCATGACAGGCACCTACAACAACAAAATGTGCCGGTTCCTTTAATGGCTAACATGTAAAAGTGAGATGTATTAAAGTTTTCATTAGTTACAGGATGTGCATAGTGTTTTATAGCTGTTAGGTTTTGGAGTGAGAGATATTTAACATGACAGTTTCTGCCTGTAGCCATTTATTTGTATACACTGCATGCGTATGCCACAGTCCCTGTACCCATATAACACTTTTAATAACGGTGCCACAATTGACAGTCTCACAGACACACAACACTCAGAACAAAGGATAATTGTTAAACAATTTAATTATTCCATTACATTTGCTTTTATGTACACCAAAAAACTGCCACTTTTTCTATGCCTACCTTAAAATAAATAAATTCATTAAAAACCAGTAAGGCTACATTCACACTAGCGTTGTGTGCAGGTGGCAGAGAGGAGTTTGGGAAGCGTTTTTACCGCTTCCCAAATGCCTCTGCCAATTCTGCACATTACAGCACATGGTGCTGTT